GCTTGCTGAGCGGTGGGCGGGGCTGCTGCCTATGGCGCTTCCAGCCTCTGCCTTCCCCTCCTGGGCTTCGCAACCTGTGACCAGAGGCTGCTGCTTGCTTCAGGTTAGCTTTAGAGCAGAGGAGCCATCTCGAAGGCACTGCCAGGCTGGCAGCCATCACATGCCAGCAGCCAGAAGACCCTCTTTGTGCTGCTGGAGCTGCATCATGGCTGTTTGTCCCTGCAGCAAATGCTCTCATGCTGCACCTCCGACAGGAAATGCCTCTGGGCGACAGACAAACTACGGCTCTTAACATCAGATCGTTATGAGCACAAGTCCCTTGGCAGTACAGGAAAATATGGGCTTCAACCACGACCAGTAGGTATTTCAGATCCTTGTATCCCTTGTTGTGCTGGGTAGGTTTTTGTGCCCTGTCAGGAAACGGTTGCATAGCGAGGATTTTGTTTGGAATACATTTTGTGCTCTGTTTTACTGCTCCAAATTAAAAAAAAAACAAAACAGTAAACCAAAAGAAAACAAAACAAACTGGACTGAAGTCTAGCACTGAGCAGGAGGGAGGGTCTTTATCACCTCCAGCTAGGTGATTTCACAGGTGCTCAGAGGGTTGCCAGGATGACATCATCCCCCAAACACAAACAGCTTGTTGCACCCATCCCCTCCCCAGCGAGGAGAGGCAGGAGTTACAATTTCCACGTTTGGGGGAAAACAATACTCAAAAAATCTCCTTGCTCCTGCAGCATGGCTGGGGAGGGAGTGTGGGGAGGTCTGGCTGGCAGTGGTGAGGGGGAAGCGCGCTGGAGAGAGCAGACCCGTGGGGCTGAGCACACCGGGGGAGAGACTGGAGGGAGGCAGCGGGGAGGGGAAATGCCTGCAAGTCCTCGGAGAGGTACCCGAGGGAGCCCTGCCCAGCAGAGGCGTGAGGACTTCCAGCCTCTGCCGGCTCGGGGAAGAGGTCTCGCTGCACCACGAGAAGAGGCACATGCACATCTCTCCCTGCGCAGCACAGAAAATAAGCTGAAGACGCCCTACAGCAGGTTCCTGCCAAAACACAGTCAGTTCCAGATAGGACCAGGCACGCCACCACTCCTGCAGGTAGTACGGACATCAGCATCCACCGCTTTTTAATTTAAGAACTTTCCTGTTTTCTACCAAATTAAACCCAGGCGTACCCTGTTTATAGAACTCCTTGTTACAACCGGTCCCACCAGCAGGACTCCAGATGAAACCTCCTGCCTCTTTGCTGGCACTGCTGAGGAGCACTGGGGAGGCAGAGCCCCTTGGGCTCCAACTTCCAAGTCCTGCTTTTCCCAACCAGGGAAACACCAAAAGCCTTTCTAATACTGATCTAGCATATTTTTAAGACATAGTTTGGGTAGTAGTATTTAGCAAACACCTGTAATAGCAGCAATGAAAAAAGCCTGCAAGAGGAGAGGATGGCTACGCCTTGGCATTAAAGTGAAAGTTGTTACATGAACGCTTGCAGTACATGAAACACCTCCTCTCCCGTTTCCTGGAAAAAGCTGAAAGCAAAAATCTGAGACCATTTCTTTAAACTCTGTTTTCCCCTGCAGACCAGAGGGGAGTTCTCCCATTGGCACTCCTGGGAGGGACAGGACAGGGCAGGACAGCAGTGCTGGGACCAACGTACAGCCATGCTGAGCATCACTAGGCACCCACAGCAACGTCTGGTTACATCTCATCATATGCCAGCCTGGCACATACACGGGAGCAATGCCCTGGTTGGGGAGCTTTCCCGTGCTGAACATTTATTTCACTCCCAAACACTCCTGCCTTCCGGCTGCCACGGCTGTCCTTTCCTTCCCACCACAAATTTTGTGAAGGCAGGTAGCTACACATCACATCCCGAATGACTTACAAGTACCCAGGCAATGCTGAAGCCCTTCGTGAGCCAAAACTCCCATTAGCCTGTTTTTTTTTCCCAGGGGAGAAAATCAAGGCAGGAGCTTCCATTTTAGCTTTGGCATTCAAAATTCTGACCAGTCTGCAGCCACAGGTCTGCAAAAGGCATCTGCTAAACACAGACACCTGGGAGAGCAAGGGCAATGCCCTAAAATTACATTAAAGACTGGTTTCTGCACTGAGCAGTGTTTAAAATGACTGATCCTTGAGAGAGAGCACTACGAGAGTAAGAATGGAGTGTGTGGCCTCCGCATGAACAACTTTTTCCAGGTCTCAGCAAATCTGCTGGGAGTAGGGCAGAGCACAGCCAGCACATGTATTAAATGTATTTTATTCCTGTCAAACAGAGGAGTATAATAACAAGGAAAACACTCTAAGCTGTCGCCACTGCTTGCAAAGGAAAACTGAAATAAAGAATATATTGATCTATGCTCTTTAAATATGCAGGTATATTTGTTTATAGTCCACTTAGCGAGCAAAAGTGAAGCGCACACAGTTATGAATATTTCTGAGCAACCATCACAGCAGGCTGTTCAACCTACATGCATACTGGTGTTGCATGGAAAGCCAAAGCCTGGCCTCCACTAAATTGGGTGAAATCACTGCTCCTAAGACCAAAATCCAGCCTACAACTCCTAATTGTTCCCATGGGGAGCGTGCGTTTGTGGTATTGAACAGCCTTGCTCCATTCTCAATCATGCAAAAAGTAATCCCATTATTTAATACCCAATGCACTCATCAGAAAGAGGAATATTGAGCCACGTCAAACTCTTCCCATGTGTGGGATAGCTGGAGCAGGCTTTCCACCCAGACCATGCTGCTTAAAATTAAGCCGCATCCTCAGAGCAGCACGTTGTGCTCAGTCACCACTGTGAACCCCTGACTCACAGGCATGCCAGCAAGAAGGGGCCCCTGCAATGGGACTCGATGGGTGTTTTATCCCCACTGAAACACATTTAGAAAATCCCAGCTTTTTCCAAGAGCTTCCCAGTACGTGTCTGCCATGACGACCCCAGAAACCTAGCAGCTCTCTGCTGCCGGCAAGGAGCTGCTGGCATTGCAGTGCTTCACTGCTGCTTTTAATAGAGAAATCCTTTAAATAGACTCGTTTTCTATTTCTATTCATACTTTTATGCACAGACATGCCAGCAGATGTTCCCTCACAATCC